AGCTAAAAAGCTTGGCAAGCTAAAAAAAAAAAAGGAAATCTGCACAATGTTATCCTTTAATAAGTGGTGAGAGGAATTCATTATTAAAAAATGTCACTCATTCCAATTGATTTAAATAAAGGCTTAGAATAGCATGCAAAATAGATTTCCCTTTAGGTATCAAGTGAAACTGCTTATTCAGGTACATTGTACATCACATGGTGAGGATAAATCAACTGAGGATGTTTTCCACCAATGTGTTGGAACTTCTTGGAGGCTTCTGCTGAGCCACAAACTCAGATAGATTGCTCTACCTGATCAATGGATTGCTTATACCATTGATTCAGTGCATCGCTTCTTAAATTCATTCCCCACAATATTTGCTGTTTCACTTTAACTCTTCCTCTCTATTGTCTTTTCACAGTCTTAGTATATTAGCATTAAACTGATAATCCATTATTGCGTAAAAAGTTATTAGTTTCAGTTTATTGGGTATTTCCATGTGTTCATTGTGTAGTTTTGCTTGAGTGCATAATAAAGTGGCATGAGCCATTATATATCAGATTTGACTGTATTTTGAAATATCTCATGGAATGGAGATGGTGGAAGATAAGCCACATCTTAGACAGACCCTTATGTAAGTTTGCCTAGAGTCTAGACATTTGTTATATACTACTCATCAGAATGTTCAAAGAGCAAAGTTCATGCTAGGACATAGCAGACAAAAGCTATGTCTACGTATGTGTGCATGTGCACAAATGCCTTTAAGACAGTGCTGACTTCTGGTGGCTGCTTGGACAAGTCCCTGCAGTTTTCTTGGCAAGATTTCTGAAGTGGTTTGAGAGAGATTCCAAGTTCGCTCAGTTGGCTTTGTGCCTAAGGCAGGACTAAAACTCACAGTCTCCCAGTTTCTAGCCTGATGCCTTAAACACCACATCAAGCTGGTTCTCACAAAAGCAATCCTTAATAAATTAAGAGGCAGTGCATTACTGTAAATAAAAACTACTTGGTTATGAAGCCCAATAAGCAATTGATTAATTTTACTTCTAGTTAAGAGCCGTGGTGGCGTAGTGGTTAGAATGCAGTACTTTAGACTGCTACTACTGGCTGGCTGCCAGCAATTTGGCAGTTCAAGTCTGACCAGCTCAAGGTTGACTCAGCCTTCCATCCTTCCAAGGTCAGTAAAATGAGGACCCAGATTGTTGGGGGCAATATGCTGACTCTGTAAACCGCTTAGAGACGGCTGTAAAGCACTGTGAAGCGATATATAAGTCTTAAGTGCTATTGCTATTGCTAGTAACTTAAGTGGTTTGGGTGGATTACAATGTTAATTTTGTTGTTGTTGTTAATTGCGAAGTCGTGTCCGACCCATCGCGACCCCATGGACAACA